TAGGTTTTTGTCAACCCGAATTGATTTAAATATTATATCTCTTCATCCAATTCAATTCGAGTATAGGAAGATTCAATTCGATTTGAAATCTAATCCGAAATTTAAAGTTAAATTTCACACCTAATGAATTTGGCATGATACAAATACTAATAATCATTTTTTTATTTAATAAAATGTGGAGCTAATTGAAAAAAATATAGAGAGAAGAACATTATAATAATTATTCCTAAAAATATAGAGAATAATTATATTATTATATGGGATTAAGTCAAATTAATTTTTCATGATAAACATAAAATGGGCTCGATTAGACCTATTTAAAAAGAAAATCTGAACTAAATCGAATTCTAATTAAAATTAATCTTATAAGGTTAGTTCGATCAAAATTTATCGAGTTCAAATAAAGCTATAATTCTAAATCTTTGTATAATTTTTTTGTACTTGATACTAAATGTAAAGTATTTAGTATATCTTGAGATTTACATTATAAAACTTTACTAAGATCATTGGTGCTCAATAAATCTATCATGAAGTGCAAGACGAATACAAATCAAAAGATGTCATCACATCATAAATATATATGCTTTGCTTCTCTCATTCAATTTCCATCACTTATGATGTTCTTGAGAACATAACAAGTAGCATCAAACATCTTGAGTAAGCTATGAGAGAATTAAATGTGAACCCCACCTTGTATCTCCTACACGCTATAAAGTAACAACTTGATTTTTCCCCTTTCCTGATTCTAACCCTTCAAGAGCAATCATAACTTCGATATAACTTGCTTGGGCATATTTCAATTGATCTTGTCTCTTATACGAAGAGATAACTAAATTTATAATGACAGTGAAATATGAAAAAAATGTGCTACTGGAATCACTTTTTTAGATATTGTCACCAAAGGTCGATTGTAATCTATGAGCAAGACAATAAATGTAATAAATTTATGATGATAGTCAAATATGAGAAAAATTGTGTTACTCGAATCACTTCTTATACGAAGAGATAACTAAATTTATGATGATAGTCAAATATGAGAAAAATTGTGCTGCTGGAATCACTTCTTTTGATAATTTCACCAAGGTCAATTGTAATCTATGAGCAAGACAATGAATGTAATAAGCAAATGAACATTCTTTAAGGAGTAATGCTTTTAAACCATTAAATTCACCACGCATATTGCTAGCTCCATTGTATCATTGACCTCTTATGTCTTTCACTTTCAAACAATGACGTGAAAGAACATCACAAATCTCTTTTTCCATACAAACGAAGTAGTTTCCTTCACATGGACTAGATCAAAAAATCTTTCACGTATAAAACCTTCTTTGTCAACATATCTCAACACAATCGTCATTTGCTCCATTTTCAATTTATCATAGGTTTCATCAACTATGAAACAAAACTTTTATTCTCCAATTTCATCTTCGAATATACTTTTGTATCCTAGATTAAAAAGATAAAGAATTTCTTTTGAATTCTCGGAGAAACATACTTTGAATTTTTTGGATCATTGTTCAAAACTGTTGTAACCTTATCATTGTAAGAAGCCAAGAAATTTATTAATTCAAAAAAGTTTTCGTGATTAATTGAATCTTCCGTTTCATCGTGACCTTGTAAAACTCAACCTTGAAAGGTTAACCACTTCATAGCTTCTATAGAAACTTTGAGTTACAACTGATTTCTTGCAACTTGTTGAGAAGTTTGTTTCTCGATCACCTTTTGAGTATGTTGAAGAGAGTTTCTCAAATCATGATAGTTTTTCATGGCATTAACTTTCTTCCAAGATCAAAAGCCATCACGAGCAAAAGAATTTGATCCAAAACGTCTAGTGGGTTTATTAAAGAGAAAACATGGAAAACAATAAGCGACGTCCTTGATTGGTGAACATTCCAACCAATTAGGAAATAATTTATACCACAAAGCCAAAAATTGTCGTCTATTCTTATCAACATATTTCGGATCATTAGAAGGAATAGCTTGATAAGGTCCCCTGTTGATATATGCTCTGCGAGAATCATCTTATTGATTTGAAGGAAAATCTCAAATAAAATTCCGTATTCTAGGATCACACTCAATAGTAGATGCATCAAAGGTTTTTTGTTCAACTCTTACAGCTTTACTTGGATAATTATCAACCTCAGAAGAACTAACAGGTATCAAACTTGGATTTGGAGAGCTTTTACTAGTATTAGGACAATCACTATTGAATTCAGACACCGTTTGACCAACCAAATTTTCGGTATGAGAAGAATCAATATTATTATTGGGGACTCTTTCTTTTGAAAAAAAGAATCGATTTTCCGATTACCCATATTTTGAACTGTAGAGGTTCTGCACTTTTCTGTTTCTTGAAAACAATGTAACTATGTAAGAGAAATATTATCAAATATTAATGATAAATTTTCAAAATTCATTATCAAGATATTCGAATGCAAGAGAATTAAATATTTAAAATTAATAATTGTACTTACCAACAAAGAAGAGCGGATGTTCAACTTGGGTGTGATTTATGAGAAGATCAAAATTTAAATTAAGCAAGAGTGAATCAGATGCGATGATGATCGAATGCACGATTCGCTCCCTACATCGACACCAAAACCCCTTGCAAATTGCAATCGAATGAAAAAGGGGAATTTAATCCTGCACAGTCTGGGTAATGGCCAACGGTCGGAAGGTGCTTACTCCAATGGACGCGTTGTGCAAGAGAGAAACTGATAAAACTTAAACCCTTCGGGCTGGGGGTCCTAGGAGGCAGTACTAAGAGCTTTGACACAGACCGAGAATAAAAAGAGTAGAATCTTACTGACAACGAAGGTAGGGCGTCGTTGAATCGCTGGATGCGGTGGTGCCGATCCGGGTGTTTGAACTTTGAAGGGAGAAGACAAAGCACTATGGAATTTATCATAGTTAAAGAAAAATAGGATTGAAATTATAAGAAAATTAAAAGAGTAAAAGAACCAGTTCGAGTTCAACAATGGTTAAGGGTTTAAGTTTCGAAAGAATCAAAAAGGGTAAATCATAGGAAAAAATCATCAGGGTTTCAAGGGTTTCTAAAATGGCACTATTTTTCCATATTTTACAATTTAACCTTTGATTTTTGAATCCTTACAATTTACTCTATATCTCTAATTAAAAGTAAAGATAACCCTATATTATAAATTTAAGGTACGGAATTATAAAATTCCAGGGACAAAGCTAAATTTTTAATAAAAAATATAAAAAAAATTGTATGAAAAATTAAAATTCTAGGGGCGACTGCCCCCACCCGCCCCTTAGATCCATCCCTGTCGATAACGACAATATTAATCTCGATCATCGATCATTCTCACTTTTTAACTTCTTTCGTCTTTGCTTTTTCATGTCCTCTTTCTCCCTCTCCCCTCTTTGTATTATTTCATTTTCTATCATCTCTTTATCGTTATCTCCAACTTTGTCGTTTCAATGTTTTTAAGTTGACAGTGTTCATATAGGGATAGACACATGGTTTTATGTTAAGAGAGACGGATCTATAAAATTTTAGAGATAAACAAACTTATAAAATTTTAAGAGGTGAAAACATATTATCAACAAAAAAATTAAAATATAAAAAAAAATAACAATTACTCCTTCGTCCCTTCCGGTCTATCCGTGGTTCCATGACAGTTTTGGCACAATAACTTGGTTTGAGTGCTTTCCATCGTCTTGGATGGTTCCTTTAATTTCACTCATATCAAATGTTATATTTTATGAAGAAGAACTCGTTATTCTAACAGTTAACGTCCAATCCTTTGTAAAAAATATATCCGTATTCTATAACAAAATTCTTACTAATATTAATATTTCACCGCCCCGACCGGTGATCGCTTCTCCATCAATGTACCTCCCACCATTTAATGTTCTTTTTTTTAATGAAATTTTACCATTGACAACAAAAAGGCGACATCTGAACCTACGTTTACTAGTGATGGCAGTATGACCGAACCCGACGGGGGAAAAATCAAAACCCGGTCAAGTTCGGGTCAGTCGGGTTGAATGATATCGGGGTCGGGTTCGGGTTTGGGGATTTTTTTTCGGGGATATTTTCGGGTCGGGTTAAGGTATCCCGCCCCACCCCGATTATATATATAATATTTTATATTTTTTATTAATTATATATAAAATATTTTCGGGTTCGGTTATAATATTTCGGGTCGGGTTCGGGGATGGGGCAAAAAAATCCCCGACGGGGTGCCCCGATAAAAAACCCGTCGGGAATCGGGTCGGGGACTGGAATTTATTTCGGGTTCGGGGACGGGCGAGCAAAATCCACCCGAACCCGACCCGTTGTCATTCCTAACGTTTACTTCAAGTCTTTAAGGTTAATTTAGCGGAAATTTTAAAATACAATTTATTGATATAAGATTAAAAAATAATACAAAATAATTATAATTGAAAATCTTATTATGAGTATAATTTTTTTACGCTGAATCATTATTATTTTTATAACAATTTTGATTAAACTTCATAATATAATTTTTCGGTTGCAATTAAAAGTATTATAAATTTATATATATTTTTAAATTAAACAAAATAATATTTTAAGTTAAAAATCAATTTAAGCATTATCCAGCCCAATTATCCATCTTGTATGCAGTAACTGCAATGCCCAAAATCGTCGGGTGTAGTGCACAGCACATGGTTCTCTTAATGGTTGCCGATTGACAACATTGACTGTGCAACAATGGGGACACACCAGACTGTCCATCGTACTCCTTTCTGCACTCTCACAACCATTCATTTCTACTCTTCTACACTCTTCAATACTGTATTTAAAGCAATCCATATTGCTTAAACTCCACGATGATGATCTGATAAACTTAAAAAATGGGATATTTAGCATCAAAATTGGATCTTTATTACATTATTATGATCATTATCTTTTTGATTTCATGCAGTTCATAAGGGTAATGTGAACAACAAGAACAATCTGCTGAACATGTATATAGACAGGCCCACAACTAATGAAACCAACATCAAAGACAGATAATCATTGCTCCGACTCGACTGTCGGGTCCGAGCAACATATTCAGAAACAATTATGCATGTGCATCCCCAAATTCAGAATTGGCTCAGTTTATGAAGAGCAACAGGCAGGGCACCCTCTCAACCTAGCCTCATAATCTTCAAACACTTTTCTGCTTCCATTACAGTTGGGGAATGACACGAACCTGGCATCCCCGCAGCCTTCGCAAACTACCCCGGGATATCGAACTGGAAACCCTGCCAGAAGCTTTGACAATTCACCATTTTCATTGAGCTGTTTAATCTCTTCAACCCCACCGATGTATAATTAACCCTTTAATTATTATTATTATCCTTTTTGATTTCATACACTTCATAAGGGAAATGAACAACGAGAACAATCTGCTGAACAAGTAGCATATAGACAGACCCACAAATTATGGAACTAACATCAAACAAAACAGTACAGCTACAAATATTAATTGCTCCGATTCTAATGTCGAAATACATTTTCGGACATATATAATCGAGTCGGAGTAACATATACCTTAATCCGCAGATTAAATGGAAAGAATCATGCATCCCCAAATCCAGCATTGACTCAGTTTATGAAGAGCAACAAGCAGGGCACCTTACCAACCCATTTTCATTGCAATCCGGGCACCTTCTCAACCTATCATCTTCTTCAAACACTTTCCTGCTTCCATTACAGTTGTGGCACGGCACAAACCTTGCATCGCCGCAGCCTTCGCAAACGATCCCGGGATCTCGAACCGGAAACCCTGACAGAAGCTTTGATAATTCACCATTTTCATTAAGCAGTTTAATCTCTTCAACGCCACCAATGTGTTTCCCCCTGATGAACACTTGAGGCAGGCAAATTATTTTCCCTCCCAGTAGAGACTGCAACTCGTTTCTGTACATGGAATCCATTGAAATGTCCCTCTCATCGACTGCAACTCTAAAACCTCTGAATATCATTTTAACACAACAGCAATCCTCGTATGTTTTCCGTATCCCCCTTAAGCTAGTGAAGTATAAAACGATTTTGGACTCAGTGCTTGGCACTTTGACCCAGCTATCAGATAGTGAAGAAGTGCATGACGGGCTTGAAGAAGAACATACGGAGATTGTGGTTTTGGATTCGTTTACTAATTGCCTTGAAGATAAGGCTCTTCTGTAGCTTGAAACCACGTTAGGGTCAAGCTTTGAAAGCAATGATTCTTCAGATAAATGCTTCCACAATGGTTTTGTTAATGATGGAATCTCCTTTGTACGAGTATTAAACATAGATTTAGGCTTACCCAGATATAAATCGCCGCAATCGTCAAGCCCATCCATGAGTTCCCATGTGTTGATGACTGAGTCCGGTGACAATGACTCGTCTTGGTCCACATGAACCGGCGAGTCGTCGCCTTGGGTGGTGTCGATTGCTGACTTTTGGATGTCGATGAGTGAAAGAGAGCCGTAGGTGGTGGAAGTTAACGAAACGAGGTGGTGGCTATCGCCTTTTCTCAGTGGAGGGTGTG